CACATACTTCTCCAGAAAAAGAACGGAGAATTGTTGCCAGGTAAGGGGTGCTGCACCAACATGCCTATGCCTCTCAAAATCCTCCCACCAAGTGAAGGCAGCTCCAGGAAACTGATAAGTAGTGAAAGCGACCCCGCTGGTCTCCAGAATACCCGTTGTATGAAGCATCCTCTGACACTTATCCAAGAAACCCCGGGCATCCTCGCTCTCTGTACCACTGAAGGTCGGAGGCTGAAGTCTACCAAACCTCTCCAACCTACGCTGATCGTCCTCTGGCATGGCAGGAACTACAGTCCTGAGCAGCTGCAACTGGTTGGGCTGGATGCACCCCCGGTGTCTGAAGTTCCTGCACGACCTGCTCAGGTGTACGAGCGGTGGGAGTCTGAGTGCCTCCCCGGCCTGAGAAGTAGCTACGACTATAGTAACTGAGACCGCCTAAGCTAGGCCAGTGCAAACTGATAGAATCTGAGCCAAGGCCTCCTGAAGACCCGGAATCACAATGGGCACAGCTGGTGCCTGAGCTAGTGCTGCTAGAGTGTCCACAACTAGGACCTGATCCTGAACTGGGGCGGCTAGTGGATCTACAGGTGCTGCCCTAGCTGCTGTGCGGGCNCCTCATACGGCTCCTCCCTTATGTGCATAATGAGAATAATACATAGAATCAAAAAAGATTCAACGATGAAAATATTCTCATTATGAACTCAGCAGGGCTAGTGTTTTTACAAGAAATCTCTAGCCAACCTTCCTGCAAGAGATTCTTTCTTAACATCAAGCCTATTGGGACTAGATAGAAATGATAAGATAACTCCAACAATTTCTTTGTTTTTAACGCCTCCTAATTTCCAGGAATTAGTCACTTCAATAGCCTTCGATGGTTATACGGGTATCCAAAGGACGAACGAGATGGATGTTTGTTGTCCCAACCATTCTTTTAGTCCCAAGCCCGCTAAGGAAAGGGCTGACTTAGAACAAAGTTTTCGTGTTGTTGATTCCTAGGTGTAGTGCTTCTTCCCCTCTGCTGCCTATTAGCGCTAGTAGAGTAGGATTGACCCGTAATACAGAACCTCTAGGCGTAACCTTTCGCTTAATACTAGAATCGAGAATCGAAACATAGCATCTGAGGTTGCATTAATCGAGGATACACGACAGAAGGAATTGTTCTATTTCCAAACTTCACCTTCAAAAAGCGTAGATTTTTTCAAAAATTTTCTCGAATCACGTGTTTTTCTCCTCGTAAGACTGAGAGAAATGACTAAATATGAAATAAAAAAAAAAAAAGAATCAAATCGCACCATCTCTGTAATAGGTAAATGCCTCTTTTTCTCCTGAAGTTGTCGGAATTACTCGTAATAAGATATTGGCTACAATTGAAAAGGTCTTATCAATAAAATTTCCATTTATCCGTGATCTAGGCATAGGTAGCAATCCATTCTAGAATTCTTCTCATTACCTCTCATGGGAAAAAGATCCCACAAAGAAAAGAATTGTATAGTACGAAATAACATAAAAACTTCTTTTTTTTTTAAGAAAAAAACAAAAGATATGAATCCTCTATTCCAATTGTTCCTTTTTGACAGGAATCGATAAGAAATAAGAAATATTTCAAGGCGATTCGATTTCATACTAATGTAGTAGTATAGGAACTATTCCGATTTCGGTGAAGTTACAAATTCGAAGAACTCGAGAAATTTTGATTGAATCATGATACAAATTACAAAGAAGAAAAAAGACCGAATAATCATTCTATGATGAAAATAGAATAACTGCCAATTTTGTGTACATAACGGGTATACACTATACAATCAAATCTAAATTTTTTTTATGAATTTCTATTCTAATAGAGGGGTAGGTGTTTGTTGTTGAGAACTCCAAAACCGAAAAGTAATTTGAAAATTTTTCTGGTATGGAATCATAGTCTATATAATTAGAATTATGATTTAAGAGTATCCATTAACTATAGTCTAAAAGATATAGACCATCAATCAGTTGATTCGTTCTAATTCATTGAATTAATCCGTTATAAAAATATCAGAAAAAGAAAAAGAAGGGAACGTTGTTTTTGCAAACATGAATCGAATTTTTTTTTTCACAATTTTTACGCAAAATTGTATCTTTATCCCGGAGCCTCGAAGGAAAGAAAAATCGTTCTTTGCTTTGACTTTGATGAAAAATTTTCAGTTAAAATGGATTGATCGTACCTATCCAATAATGGAATATGGATTATGACTGACTCGCTATTCACACCCGGTCGTGAAGGCGCCTCTCGTGAAGACAAGGACGGCCGACACACTCCCAATTTGTTTTTAAGCAATTAAATAATAGAACTAAGCCTTAATCATAATAATAAATCTCCAAAATAAGGTAATTAATACAGTTTGCGGAAAAAGACATAGCCCGACATCGGAGTGTCACCAGTCATGAGCATCTATAATAATACTACAAGTCTGAAAGAGTCTACTCAACTATTACCAAACAAAAACAGAAGGAAATAGAATAGAGGGAGAAGCACTGGGCTGCGAATCGCCGGGCAGCTACCTAGTGAATCTCCGGAATCTGCTGGACAGCTCTCAACCCTCGCAAGCAGGACCTAATGCGCCTAAATCTGCACACAAGTGGCAGGGAGTAAAGTGAGTACTCCAACTCAATGAGTAATAATAATAAATGCAGACTGAGTAATAAGAAATCACGTAAAAGCACAGCAACAGACTATAAAAAAGCGGTAAAAGCCAGTAAAAGCAATGAAACAGTGAAAAATAGGTAAAGTCACTTCAGTTCAGTTAAAACTTCTTTGGAGAGCCTTTTAACAATTAAGCAAGTAAATAACAGACAATTAGGAAAGATACACACATAAAGAACCGCCCCTCGGGTACAATACCACAGAATCAACCCCTCGGGCAACACATGAAACAATACCAGGGCTATATCTCACATCACAATGGGTACCCGCGCTCACTGGAGGTGTGCAGACCTGGAGGGGCCCCTTACGGCCCAAGCACAATATCAAGCCATCTCGTGGCAAAATCACTACGCTCTCGGCCTCATATTAACAAGCCACCTCGTGGCGTACAAATCTCAGGCCCTCGGCCTCATACTCATAACCAGTGTTTCCTCACAATATAGGCCCTCGGCCTTACTCAGTCAGAATCTCACAAGCCACTCGGACAACAGTAAAACATGATGCTCAGCCCAAAATATCATTTAAAATATCATTTTAAATGTTAAAGCAAAGTAAACATGACTGAGTTATGAAAACAGTAGAATATAGCATGACTGAGTTCAAGTATAAAGTCAAAACAGTGAGAAAATATCAGTAAAAATTTCCTAAGGGTTCAAATAATTGGTACGAGGCCCAAGTATGACATTCAACCCAAAACATGATGATAGCAAACAATTTTCAGTTAAATACGCGGTAAAACAATCATTCGGGATGGACTAAGTCACAATCCCCAACAGTGCACGACCTCACGCTCGTCATCTAGCATGTGCGTCACCTCAATATAGCACAACGATGTGCAATCCGGGGTTTCATACCCTCAGGACAACATTTACAATCATTACTCACCTCTACCCGATCCAAATCTCTAGCTCGCGATGCCTTTGCCCCTCGAATCGGCCTCCGAATGCTCCAAATCTAGCCAAAATCAGTGCAAAACCATCAAAATATGCTAAGGGAACACAACACACTCTAAAGAAATCAAATTTTAATACAAATCTCGAAATTGGCCAAACCCGACCCCCGGGCCTACGTCTCGGATTCCGATAAAAATTACATCAATGGACTCCTTATCACTCCCCGGGTTCATTCATACCAAAAGCATCAAAATCCAACCACAAACGACCTCTCAAATCCCAAATTCTAGGTCTCCAATTACAAGCCCTAGTTCTTCAATATTAAGCTTAATTTCCATGATTAATTAGGTAGAATTCACATTAGAATCGAGTATTAAGTCCATGAATCTTACCTCCAAGTGTTTCCCCCTTGAATCCCTCTTCAATTCTCTTCAAAAAGCTCCAAAATCGCTCAAAAATGGTGGAAGTTAACCCAAAAATCGCAGACAAGATGACTATTTAAACATTCTGCCCAGGCCTCAATTCCTTCTTCGCGAACGCGGTCAACGCCTCGCGTTCGCGAAGCACAATCTAACTTTGACCAAATTTCCTCTTATGCGAACACGTCCAGTCCCTCGCGAACGCGCTCCCCTTCTCGCGAACGCGATGAACAAATCAACCTCAAACCCAGTTGCCCAACTTCCTCTACGCGAACGCGGAGCCTCCCTCGCGAACGCGATGCACAACGACCCCAGCCCTTCGCGAACGCGAAAGCTAAAATCTCAGCCTCACCAGCTAACCCTTCACGAACGCGAGGGCCTACTCGCGAATGCGAAGGTCATTTCTCTGCAACACTGAACAACTGTTTTCTACATTTTTCCAACACATGAAATGGTCCGATTGATCACCCGAAACTCACTCGAGGCCCCCAGGACCTCAACCAAACATGCCAACATAACCCATAACATCATTCAAACTTGTTCCAATCTTCAGAACACTCAAAACAACATCAAAACACCAAATTCACATCGAATTCAAGCCTAAGAATTCCAAAATCTTCTAAATTACGCTTTTCATCAAAAACCCAACCAAACCACGTCCTAATGAACTGAAATTTTGTACACACATCCCAAATGACATAACGAAACTACTACAACTCTCGGAATTCCATTCCGACCCCTATACCAAAATCTCACCTATTAGGAAAATGCCAAAAATCCAATTTCGCCAATTCAAGCCTAAATCTACTTCGGACCTCCAAAACACATTCCGATCACGCTCCTAAGTCCCAAATCACCTCTCGAAGCTATCCGAACCATCAGAACTCATATCCGAGCCCTCTAATACATAAGTCAACATCCGGTTGACTTTTCAACTTAAGTTTCCTCAAAAGAGACTAAGTGTCTCAAACTTTACCAAATCCTTTCCGAACCCGAGCCAACCAACCCGATCACATATAGAACCGATAAACAAGCAATAAGAAGCAGAAATGGGGAAAACAGAACGGTAACTCATGAGACGACTGGCTGGGTCGTCACACTTACCTTTGCTTTCCGAAAGCCATTCAGCCAAAAGGCGTTCGAGATGATACGACTTGTATTGTGATTGACATACAACCCCCAGAAAAAACAATTCCTCCTCCACCGCCGCCCAAAAAGTCATGGAAAAGAGTATTTAAGTCCATGTTTCGCAAAAAATCTTCCGAGTCATATTGTAATATCGAGAAAGATTGTTGTGAAGCAGATATGGTGGAAGAACTATTTGAGGAAGGATCTGCATCACTTTCAGACAGGTATGCGTCCTGCTAAGTGGTACTTTGCATTATAAAACTTGTGACGCGATTCCCTTACATTCATTGCAAGCAGATTATCTATTTCAGGTAATATGGTGGCACAATTATGGATTGATACTTATTTTTTCCCGATGATTGCAGGTTAAACACGAAATATCCAGTCTGTAATGTGTTTAAGTTATTCACATGTGCCGTCTGTCAAGCGGAGATAAAACCTGGAGAAGGCTTTTCAATACATGCTAGTTCCTTGAAAGCAAGAAATTTGTGGCTGTGGGATGGTCCTTTCCTTTGCTCTAGCTGCCAAGAGAAGAAAGAAGCCATGGAAGGAAATTAAAGAGACCTTCAGGAATTCAGTGCCTCGCTTTATATATACATTTTAAAACTCTTGTCTCATTAATGAATTAAACTATGTTATCAAAACATCAGAAAGTCTGTATTTCTGATGGTTTCATCCTCTTTCATTTGTAAGTATCAATATACAGCTTTTTAATTTTTGTTTCACCCCAGTTCTCTTATAGTTTGGAATATCTCTAATGACACTATATTCATCAAGTCTCAGCTTTGTGCTGCCTACCACCCATCACAGCTGGTTTGGCTCTATAAGTGTGACACAATATAAGGACAGGTGCATACATTTGAAGACTTTAAGATAAATGCACCGAGAGTGTAACGATTCTTTTATATTATTAATACTGTTAGTTTAACCGATTATAGCATGTTACTACTTCATTTCGAGCTATATGCTGTTGTAGCCCAACTTAAATTGATAATGTAAAGATTCTTCACATTGCACAAAATATAAACTCAAATTTAAATTGCAGTGATGCAGTAATATAGTATTTGGTGGAATAATCTAAGTGTGCATAAGCTATTCTGGACACTACCATCATGAAAAAAAATAAAAAAGAAACTGTAGTTAATAACCAATAAATATAATGAATCACCTTGCTACTAAGCTGACACGATACTTCCTTTTCAATTGGTCAATATCGGGACCAGATGGCTGCTGGGCTGGAATGAAAATATTCCAAACGAGAGTTTGTTTGGTTTTATCCATTAGAGCCATAGACTACAAAGTCTGTATTTATCTGATTGTGTCACGATCTTAATGTGGAAGTATCAATGAATATCTGTTTTGTTTTTTGTCTCACCCTTGTGTCTCTTAGTTCGGAAAATACCTTTAAGGCTTTAATAACAGAACTATTGACAAGTCTTTGATTTGTAGTGCCAGCCATTCATTAGTGAAGCTGGGGGTTTTGGCCCCTGGATTGACACATTATTTTATATTCGCTAAGGATCTTGAATTGCTTTTCTTTTGTACAATCACAATCTCTGAGATTGCTCCCAGAATATTATGCCTATGAAAATTGAAATGGTATATCTAAACTAGTTTATTTTCCCCTATGACATAAGTAGAAGATGTACCACTGCGAATATGTCAATCTTTGTTACTTTCTAGTCTATTTTGAAAAATTTGTACGAAGTGCACACCAAATAGATACGTCAAGGTAAACAAAAGATGCATGTAACATAGATATAGTAGAATAAACGCCAAAAACTATTGTAGTATAAACTAGGAGTATACAGGAAACCGATAAACCATGCCAAATTGATAATCCGAGTTAAATCGAAAAAACAATCTGATTATGGTTTGGTGTTGAACAAAATATCTGACCATAATTGGTTTGGTTTGATTCTAACTAAAAAAAGTTAACCGAAACCAAACTAACCCGATATATATATATATACAAATTTTAAAATATTTTATACATAAAAATATCTATCATAATATAATTTATATATATTTTTTTAATTTTTTCCCATAATTCTCTCTTTTAACGTATTATTTCAAGTTTGGACTTCAAATTTTTGAATGGTCCAATACGTTTTATAGCCCATAAGTATTAGTAACTTAAATAACACCCAAATAAAATCAAATCAATAATAATATTAACCAAAAAATAAATTACATTCAATACTAAGGGTCTATTTGGAAAGTCACCCGGTAATTGGAATTAGTATAATTACTAGGGTAATAATTAAACAACTTAGTAATTATGAGGACCTATTTGTTTGTCATAAAGTAATTACATTATAATTACAAGCGTACTGTTTGGTTGCACGGGTGTAATTACACAGTTAGATTAAATTTTAAATAAAGTAATTATCAAAATTTAAAAGTCAATATAATAAATATATGCCAATAAATGATTTATTTATAAGTATAAATGATATTAGATTTGGTATATAAGACGCATATTTTTTCTTGAATATACACAAATTAGTAATCATATATTTGTAATTAATAATGTAAAAATAACTGATATATATTTTTCAAATTAATAATATTTAGTTTAATTAATTATAAAAACTAAAAACACATGTTTTGTAAGAACATCATGAAATGAATTTTTGATAAAATAAAATAATATTTATAAATATAATGTCATAAATTATGTAAATGTTTGACAAAACTAATCTATCAATTTAGTGTCCTTCTAGCAGAAGTTGTGGATTTTCCTATTTTTGCAGCTAAGAAGTACTTGTCAAGAAATTTTTTCGTCATATGTTCCCATGTCCTGATTGATCCAGTTGGTAAATTTCAAAGCCAGTGCTTCGCGTCATGCTTCAGTGAAAGGGAAATGCCTTTAAGCATACTGCATCTTTGGACAATTCATTGTACTGAAAGGTGTTCATGGTTTCTTCAAAGTCCATCAAGTTAGTGTTCGGATCTTCATTCACCTTCCCTCTAAAGACATAATTGTTCTGGATGGTTTGAAGCAAACCTTGCTTCAACTCAAAATTATTTGTTGCTATGGGTTAAGGTCTGACACTTGACAGTCATGATTATAGACTGGTCTGACATAGTCACCTAATGATCTCCCAGGGGTGGGGGCCATATTTTCAAACTGGTCTTCAACCAGAGGTCGATTTAGATTGAATCTTCGACCCTTATCTTCTTCGACAGGCTCATCAGCAACTCTAAGGGTTGCTTCAATTCCTAACCGTGCAGCTTGTTCTCTATGTTGTGTTGCTTCTCTTGCAGCTAAGTTCACTCTATTATCACTGTTCTTTGTCATGTATTCTTGGGTTGAAGGTTGCCTCAATTTTTTTTTGGTGAATCCTCTTTCTTTTATCCGTTGTCGCATGTGTTTCTCCAACTCCGATTCGTATGATATTACTTCCTTTGAAGAAGATCGAGTCATACACCAAGGAAGTTAGACCTGTATCATGCACACAAGTGAGAAAATGTGAATACAACAAAGTAAAATTAGTTCCTAAATTAGTACCAAAAATTATTTGAGCACTATTGATTGCCAATCCCCAGCAACAACTTCAAAATCTGATGAGCGCAAAATACAACACAAAATTATTGCTAGCTAGTCAAAGATAATATAGTTAAATTATCGTCTCCACAGGGATTGAATATAAATACTGTTCGGATAATCTTTAATTAATTACTATTTGGGAAAATTAACACTTTATTGAATGATTATAAACTACGATTAACTACTAAAATTAAGCAGTTACCAATTGATCACGAAAGACAATAGTTGAGCAACAAAAATATATCAGTGAGAGAAATAAGGGTAATTGACTAGACAAATGCAAGACAATTGATTCGGGATCTAATTCTTGAATTAGTTCACTCTATAATACGATGAACAATTGCAATAATTGCAACGATGGTTAATTTCAATAATTGATCCAATTGAAGCACGATGAACAATTGTAACGAATAAAACGATTGTTATAATTTAAAGGGTAACTTCTCATGACTATTTTCCTATTTTCTAGTTCGATAAATAATTCAAGTGTCTCTTTCGATTACATAGTTGAATTACAAATTTAAACTAGAGCATAAGATGTAAAGAAATTCACTATAAAGCTCCTCTTTCGATTAAGCAAAATAATAAATAACTTCAAAATATGATTTAAAACTCCATTAATTAATTCAAACAATTGTCAAGAATCGAATCCCTATCAATTTATCACTACACCATATCAATCGACACCCTAAGAGAAATTACTCCATGACAATAGAAAAAGCATCTCAGTTAGGGTTAAAAAACATAGAAAACATCAATGCTAATGATTCGATACAAACTTTCATATTGCACCGATTGTTGGTTGAAATCTTGATGAATTCATGTGTCTCCTTGCCTTAGTTGCTTCTCAAATCTTTCATAGGTCAAAAGTCCCTTTAAAATCGTATTTTTGATGTATTTATACTGTGTATAAATGGGTCCGGACGGAACTACCCTTTCCAAACCGAAACAGAAAATAACTCTAAGAATTTTATATAGGAGCGACACGCCTCACATCACACCATGCACCACATATGTGAGGATTTTAAGGGGCCTTGCCAATTGTTTGTCAAGCAGATTTGCACTACCGTGCCATGCCCCATGCGGCGCGGTAGTGTAGTTTTCTTAGAGTAAATTTTTCATGCACATTTTGATATTCCAACTTGGTCCTCGACTCCCGAACGTAATCCCTGTTTAATTCTTTGGACTTTTACTCAAACTTCAAAGCTCTGTAGCGACCCGATCGTTCGTTCTGAGAGTTATAGCCCCATTTCTCCCCATCTATTCTTGTTTATGTGTTGTTCAGCTGTGTTGAGTTGTATCATGGTGGTAGGTTTGGGTTCGGAGTAGTTTTGGAGTGAAATGAAAACTTAGTCTCTTAGTTAGAAAGCTAAGTTAGATATGTCAACCGGAAGTTGACTTATAAGTAAACGATTTGGATTTGGATTTTATGATTCGATTAGCTTCGTTGGGTGATTTTAGACTTAAGAGTGTGTCCGGAATGTAATTTAGAGGTCCATGGTAGAATTTGGCTTGAATTGGTGAAGGTTGAAAGTTTAGAAGTTCTTAGACTTGAATTCGAGGTTGATTTGATGTTTTGGTGTTGTTTTGGGTGTTCCGGAGGTTCGGCTAAGTTTGGGTAGTGATATATAATCTGTTGGAATTATTGGTTGAGGTCCTGAGAGCCTCGGGTGAGTTTCGGATAGGTTTGGGTTGTGTTGCGCTCGTTTTTCTTATGTTTTGACGCTGTTTCTTCAAGCATAAATGATATCATATTAAACAAATGAGCTCCGATTTTTTTTGATTGAAGCATTAGATCTGTATTATAATTACGGACCCGTAGCAAAAATAATCAATGAATTTGGACATTGTATGAGAATTTTATGGTCATTTTACTAAGAATTAGGTTGCCAGATTTTTCAGATTAATTACGAAATTACCACTGACGGCGTATTTAAAAATCTGCACTATTTGCAAATATTGAAACCAACATATCTCATTCATTATAAGGTCAAATTGATGTGATTCAAAAGCCTAACTTGACTATAATTTCATAAAAAATCTATTGGAGGCATAAAAGCGAGTTTCGAGATCAATTGGTACGAGAAACGAGGCAGAATATCTGACAGAAAAATATATAAAATAAGAGTTTGGTCATTTGGTCATATTTTGAGTTAGGGAGCTCGGATTTGGGCAATTTTGGAGTCGATTTCCACCATAGGGATTGGGGGTAAGTGTTCTCTA